ATAAATATAAATAAATAAATAAATAAATAAATAAATAAATAAAAACAAGCATTAAAAAAAATTTTTTTAAGCACATGAAAAGAAAAACACATGAATAGAAAAAACAAAACCTCATTGTTAAAAGTGAATGGCGCAGCCTATTCAGGAAGGAAGGAAGCTAACTCCAAGCATGTGCCCCACACATGGCATGGAATGTTCTGACTTAATCTTTATAATTCTCATTTTTACAGATATGAGAACTGGGGTTAAATACCTTGCCCTGGGACACAAGGCTGGGACAAACTGAGGCTCAAATCTTCATCATATGAAGAGCACAAGAAATGACAGATTAAATGCTTTGAAGATGGAGGGTGGGAAGTGGGGAGGAGAGACTCTGGTTCAAGAAGTACTGGGAACAGAAATTAATCCAGAAAAAAAAAAGTTTGAGTTCTTTGAATTCATCCCATAATCAGTAAATATTTGTCAGTCCCACTGGATTGTTCCAGGCCCAGGCTGAGGACAGAGTCCCTTATCCCTGTGGGAGCCCACAGATTAGCTGGAGCAAGACCTACCTAGGAAACGATCTCTGAAGCAGCCAAAGATTAAGTGATGCTAAGGAAAAACATCTGGAGCGGGCAGGATTTGGGGAGCATCTAGGATCTGGGATGCTTGCTATGGAGCTGCTGGTCCCCATCTCCTAACTCAGCCACCAAGCCTTCTACCTGCCAGGGGCTCCCACATTCTGGTCTTCATCAATTCTTACCTGAATAGCAGGAGCCCCCAAGCACACCGCACTGGTTTCTATGCCTCCAGTCTGATTCGCCTCGCGGCTACTGCAAGCAGCCTTTCTCACTCTGGCACCTGATCTCTCCTCTTGATAAAGTCCCATATTCTGCACTTCTAGCCTCAACTCTGCCACCTCCCTCACTAGCTCCCCAGGTCCCAGGGACCTTACAATCCTTGGAGAACCCTGTCCAGTATCTGAAGTTCTCTTCCTCCCAGTTGGTCCCCTCTGGAACTCCTTCCTGCCCTTTTCAAACATAGCCCAGGAGTCCTTTCCACTAAAGGTCCTTCTCAGGACCCCATTCCTCTCTGGAGCCTCCCTAAGGTCAGTAATCTTCTCTAGTTCTTTCCTGGTGTCTCAGGCATCAGGCGACGTCATTGCTGGCAGCAAAGCCCACCTTTTCCCAAACCCTTTTCTCTGGGAATAGCAGAATGCGCCGCAGCAGCCAGCTGAGCAGACACGAAGGTAGTGCAGGGTCAGAGGGGATGGGATAGGGAAGACAGGTTGCTGTTAAGCTGCAAAATAACCCAGCCTTTCCTTCCCGTATATGGTCTTGTGTCCGGCAGTCCCTGTGTCTCACAGCGGCAATCGTGTGTATCTTCGATGGGATTATGATCACCAAATTGGGGAGGGATACAGTGAAAAGAGTCCTGGGACTCCAAGTTGAAACCAATGTCTTCCGGCCCCTGGAGCCCACCACACAGGCACCCGCAAGAGAACCCGCGCCCGCAACTGGGAAAGCGCCCCCGCCGGCACCCGCGAAGGCACCTGCGGCCGCGCGGGCCAAACCACCCGCGCCAGCGCCGGAGCCAGCACCGGAGCCAGCGCCAGCAGCCGAGCCGGGGCTCACCTCACCACCCCAGGCCGCACCCTCGCTGGCACCCGCCTCTAGGCGCCCATCGCGCCGGGCATCCTCTCGGCAGCCTTCGCAGCCACCGTCGCGGCCGCCTTCACGGCAGCTCAAGGGGACATCCTCGCGGGAATTCTCGGCCCCATCCTTGACCAAGGCTGCACCTTTAAAAGGGGGATCCTCGCGGACATAAGCGTCCATGCCTCATCCCTCCGGGTAATCCCACCACTTAGCTTGCATGCGCTGTCACCCACTCTGGCCCACATGCGATCATAAAATCAGAGCTGCTAAATCGGGAACATTTCTGCCTCCTCGTGTTGCCTTGTGTAAAAGTCGAGTTTCCTTTTCCTGCGGCCGCTGCGGGGCGAGGCTGCCCCAGGACGCGGTGGCCAGGGTCTCCACCCCGCCCAGGGTTCCAGCCCACGCGTGCACAGGGGTCCAGCGCTGAGGCCCCCTCCCACGCAGGCGGGACCCCCACCCCCACCCCTCGCTGGGGAGCCCGGGCTGGCGCAGAGCTCCCGCGTGGTGCTTGGCGGCGGGGCCGGGCCCTTGACCCCCCCCCCCCTCCGCTCCGGTCCTCGAGGTGTGAACCAGGTGCGACAGCGGGGGGACGCGGCGCGCGGGGCAGCGCTGGGAGTTCGCGTCCGCGGGTCCCGGCCGTTGGCTGAGCGGGACCTGTGAGCGGGTGGGTGGGCACCAGGCTCGCTCAGAGGCCAGGCCTGTCCGGGGCCAGCAGGAGAGAGATCAGACAGGAGGCGAGAAGTTAAGAACCCCCACGCAAAAATGGCTGACAAAGGCAAAAAGGGCAAGGCGGTCGCGGCACCTACACCCGGGCCCGCAGATAAGCCGCCGCCCCCTCCTCCAGCTGCCGAACCGGAGGACAAGAAAGACCAAGAAGACAAGAAAAAGGCAAAGTCGGTGCAGCCCACGGATGAAGTGGGCACCAGGAAGGGGTGTCGCCGCTACGGGTGGGAATTATTGAACAGCAATAAAGAGTTCTGGATGATGGGGCACGCCGAGGTCAAGATCCTGAGCTCGGTAAGGTGGGCTGGTACCCCGGGGCAGGGGCCCAACCATGGAAAGAGGGTGGAGGAGCGGGCTCCAGAGGGGCTCCGGAAGGGCTCTAGAGTCGCTGCGAGCCCTTTGCCATAGCTCAGGTGCATGTCTCCCAGCAGGGCTGCCTAATAGCCGCACTGGTACTGTTCACGGAGACCAGCGTGCACCCTCTCCTGACGCTCATCATCACTATGGAGCTGTCCGTCTTCTGCTTCTTCTTCATTGCCTACACCCTCGCCATCAACAGATACACGTCCTTCATCCTGTGGCCCATGTCTGTAAGTGAGAGGAGGTGGGGACTGCCTGAGGCTGGTGTGCATTCGTGGGTGTGTCTTGATGAAGAGAGACACCCTGCACCTTCCATATTTGTGGCCCAGCGAACGGCACAGCACCTCCAGCGGGATCAGGGTAGGGGAAGCTGAAGTTAGGTTACAAAAGGCTCTCAAACACCCCAGCTTAGGGGCAGGGAGGTCTCTTACCTTACCATGGTCAAAGGAAGAGGTAGGTCTTTGCTTTCCTGAGGCTTTGCTCTCCTTGGGAGGAGGTGCTGTGTAGCAACCAGCTGTCTCCTCCCCCACTTCTGTGCCAGCTAACACTGGAGTGGGGAGATCACCCCAGGGGTACCCCATCCCTAGAATTCAAAAAAGAGAAACCAATCTTCTCATAAATCAGTAATATAAAAAGAGAATTTTTTTTTTTTTACAAATAGTTTATTGTCAAATTAGTTTCTACATAACACTCAGTGCTCATCCCCAAAGTGCCCTCCTCCATGCCCATCCCCCCCTCCCCCCCACACCCATCAGTCCTCAGTTTTTGTCAGCATTCANCCAAAGTGCCCTCCTCCATGCCCATCCCCCCCTCCCCCCCACACCCATCAGTCCTCAGTTTTTGTCAGCATTCAAGAGTCTCTCATGGTTTGCCTAAAAAGAGAATTTTTTAAAAATCACTTTGAAGCAGTCTCAGGTCTCTAGTGACTATTCCTGTGAAGGATGTTAAGCCCAGAAGAATGTTCAGCCCAAAGCAGTCATCCACTAGGACAGGAGCAGGGCAAGTCAACCAACCATTTGTAGCCTTTTTTCCTTCATCTGTAGCATGAGGACAGTACTAATGTCTCAAGGGATTGTGCCTGAGGAGTAAATACAAAGCTCTTGATGCTGTGGATTTATGGACTTGACTCCCTGATCATGACCTGTATAATCCAGAGCACACTCACCCAAGTCCCACCTCACTGCACATTCACAGCAAGCCTCCAGAGCCTTAAGCTCTAGGTTTCATGTACGTTACATATGAAATGGTCTCAAAATGGTCACCTAACTTATCCCCAGGTAACTCAGCTAGTAAGTGGCAGAACACGGATTCAAACCCACCTTTGTCAGTAGAGTCTGAGTACCTAACTATACTCTGTCCTGTGTCTTTGTCAAAAGTTATTAGGGCCCAGGGATTCATAGGTCTCAGCAAGGTAGGAGAGGACCCCCAATACAGGGAGAAAGGAGAGGAGGACCAAATAAGACTCTTGGGGAAGGGGTAAGCAGAGGACAGAGTAAAGGAACAGGCAGAGGGCAAACTCCCAGCCAAGGAACCTGAAAGATACTTTTAGTTCCAGCAAGATGAAAACTCAATAAACCCTGAAAATCCTCCTACTGCACTTACCTAAAACTACTACGGAAAGTGTAAACACAACTGCTGTAACTGAATGGCTGAGCTGACAAAAAGGGAAACACACAAGTGCCAAAAATGAAAAACAGGAGCAGTGATCGAATACCCTGCTGAAGTGTGGGGAGCAATGGCCCACGAAGTATTGCCCCAGGAACCTGGCAGATGGATTTTCATACATTCTTGAGTTAGAGGAGATGCGACCTTCGTCCTAAGCAAAATGAAGATTTAGAACTGAGACCCCTGGGTAAAGCCAGCACTCTGCAAAGACTGAACCTTTAAGGAAAAGACAGGCAGAGGAGATACCTTCCTCCTCACACACAGAGGAACAAGAAGGCCTGTTCACCTCTGCCTGAGCTGGGAGTGGAAAAAACAAAAAACAAAAAAAGACCACTTTGAGAAACAGAAACCTTGAGCCTACAGTTTGTACAGATTTGGTTTGAATTTTTACCACCACCATCCTAGAAACCTTCATGCAGCCTAGAAAATTTGTGCCTCGGAATTATAATAAAAATAATCCCAATTTAATGATGTTCTGATGATGTCCTTGGGACTCCTAACAGAAACCAATGCAAAGTCACAATCAAAGCACTGGGGTGTTTGGGTGGCTCAGTCAGTTGGGGGTCTGACTTTGACTGAGGTCATGATCTTGCGGTCTATGAATTCAAGCCCCGCAGCAGGCTCTGTGCTGACATCTCAGAGCCTGGAGCCTGCTTCAGATTGTGTCTCCCTCTCTCTGCCCCTCCCCTGCTCACACACACACTCTCTTAAAAATAAATAAACATAATTTTTTTAAAGTATAAAGAGATTCTCACAGGACAGGTAAGGGTGGGGAGAGACTTGTCAAAAATGAATGCACAGTTCAAAACTACAAAACACTTGATTTTAAAATCCCCATGTCTAAGAATTGAGAATCAGCAAACATAACAGAAAAGAGGAGGATTAGAACCCTGAGAATATGAGATTAATACAAGAGCGGTCTGAAAATAATAAGAAATATACTTTAAATAATAAAGGGATAAACAGAGCCCTAAGAACAGAATAAGACATTGTGAGGACAGAATAAAAAGATCTTTTTTTTTTTTAATGTTTTATTTATTTCTAGGAGAGAGAGAGAGACAGCGTGAGCAGGGGAGGGTCAGAGAGAGAGGGAGTCACAGACTGAAACAGGCTCCAGGCTCTGAGCTGGTAGTCAGCACAGAGCCTGACGTGGGGCTCAAACCCACGAACCGCGAGATCATGACCCAAGCAAAAGTCGGACGCTTAACCGACTAAGCCACCCAGGCACCCCAAAAAGATCTTTTTTTGAGTACAAAAGACAATGTCTATAATCAAGTATATAGTTTTTGAATTTAAAATGTCAATAGATGGATTATAAAGCATATCAAAGCTGGAGAATTAGCAAACTGAAAGATGTGAGATAAGGATCCAGGATATAGCACTGAGAGATAAAGGAAGAAAATAGAGAAGTTGAGACAGAGAAAATAGTCCATCATAAGCCTAATAGGAATCCCAGAAGAAAAGACTCAAAAAAATGGAGGAGAAATACTGATAATGACTGAGAACTCTCCAGATGTGATGAGTGACATCACTAAATATGGCAGTGTCAGAAACACCAAACTCTGTCCCTCCACTAAAGCAATAATTAGGCTGTCAAAAAATATCAGAAACAACTTTTTCAGAACTCTGGGATCCAATTTTAAAAGCTTAGAACCAAGGGAATGGTTAATAAAGAAAGAAGCTGTTGAATGTGGTAAGAGAGTGTTGTGACATTTTAACATACCTCCCCACTATCCTTCATACCCCAGCTTGTCTGTGGCCATGAAGACAACAGCCCACATTCCTAGTGATTCTTTGAAGGATGGGCCCTCACCTGCCTCGGAGCTTTTTCAAGGCTGAAGCAGCCTCCTGGATAGCATTTGTCAAAAGCATTTAAAGGCACATCTACTAACATAACCACAACTGACTGGACAAGGGAAATCAAATGAGGCAACCAATAGACAAGACCAGAAGTTTGGAAAAAAAGAGGCTGGGGATAGAGATGCATAGAGGAATAAGAACTTTGAAAACCTACAACATATCCAGGGAATCCAGAAGGCCACACACATGCCAAGAAAAGACCCTAAGCGTTTGCCTCTTGCTGACCTTTAGGCTCTGTATAAGCAGCAAGGGAAAACAGAGTTCTAAACAGCCTGGACAAGTGTTGAAGGAATACCCCAAAACAAAGCCAATTTGCAAAGACTGGTCAATAATTTTTGTTTCCAGATATTTAAGGAACTCTCTTTCAAATAACTACCTGACCAGTAAGCTAGCAAAACAGGGACTTCAGTTGCAGCACTGAAAGAATACAGTCTTTAAAAAAAGATAGTTCAGTAAAAGTCATTAAACATACAAATGAGTACAACTCACAACCATCAACAGCAACAAATCCTGGGAAGGGAGGAGAATATGGTTTACAGAGTAACTATATGATAATATTCAAAATGCCCACAATTATAAGGCATGCAAAGAAACAAGAAAGTATAGCCCATTCACAGGGAAAAAAATTAATAGAGACTGCCTCTGAGAAAACCCAGATATTAGACTTACTAGACAAAGAGTTTCAATCAGTTCCCTTAAAAATGCTTAAAGAACTAAAACCAGGTGAACAATTTATGAACAAGTATAAAATATCAGCAAAGAGAAATTACAAAAAGGAGCCAAAAGGAAATTCTGGAACTAAAAGTAATATAACTGAAATGAAAAACTGAGGAGTGTGGATTAACAGCAGATTTGAGCAGACAGAAGAATGAATCCATGAACTTGAAGATGGGTCAATTGAGATTATCCAGTCTGAGGAAAAGAAAACAAAAAGAATGAAGAAAAGTGAAGAAACCTATAGAAGAGCATCAAGTATACTAACATATGCTGAATCCCAAAAGAAGAGAAAGGGGAAGAAAGAGTATTAGAAGAAATGGTCAAAAACTTTCCAAAGTTTATAAAAGAATACAAATTTACACATTCAAAAAGGACCAAGTAGAATAAACTCTAGGTGATCCACACTGAGACATTTATAATCAAACTGTCCAAAGATAAAGACAAAGTCTTGAAAGTCACAAGAGAGAAGCAACTAATTTCATACAAGGGACCTCTAATAAGATTAACAGCCAATTTCTCATCAGAAACCATGGAGACCTGAAGCAGTGGAATGATATACTTAAAATCCTAAAAGAAAAAACAAAAAAAACTGTCAACTGAGAATTCTATCTTCAGATTTGCTATCTGTTATGATTGTGTCCCCTAAAAATATGTTGAAGTCTTAACTCACGGTACTTGTGAATGCGACCTTATTTGGAGGTAAGGCCTTTGCAGATGATCTAACTAAGATGACATCATTAGAGTGGGTTCTAATCTAATATGACTAGTATCCTTACAAAAAGGAGAAATTTAGGCGCAGAGACAGACATGTTCAGAGGGAAGCTGATGTGAAAAGACACAGTAAGAAGACAGGATGGTGAAACAAGCCAAGGAATGCCTAAAGTTACTAGAAGCTAGAAAAGAGGCCAGAAGAGATCATTTCTTAGCATCTTCAGAGGGAGCATGACCTTGCCAACACCTTGATTTCGGACTTCTGGCCCCCAGAACTGTGAGACAATAAATTAATGTTGTTCTAAGCCACCTAGTCGGTGGTACTGCATTATGGCAACTCCAGAAAATGAATACAATATCCTTCAAAATTTATCCTTCAAAAATAAAGGAGAAATTAAGACATTGTTAGATAAACAAAAGTTGAGGGAGTTTGTTGCTAGTAGACCTGCCTTATAAGAAATATTAAAGGGAGTCCTTTGGGCTCAAACAATAGGACATTAGACAGCAACTTGAAGCCATAAAAAAAATAAATAAATAAAGAACACTTGTAAAGTAACTAATAGGTAAATATAAAAGTCAGTATTATTGGGGTGCCTCAGTGGCTCAGTCAGTTGAGAGTCTGACTTCAGCTCAGGTCATGATCTCACAGTCTGGGAGTTCAAGCCTCACATCAGGCTCTGTGCTGACAGCTCAGAGCCTAGAGCCTGCTTCAGATTCTGTGTCTCCCTCTCTCTCTGCCCCACCCCCCATCTCTTTCTCAAAAATAAATAATAAACATTAAAATAATTATTTTTTAAAAGCCAGTATTATTGTATTTTCAGTTTGTAACTTCTTTTTTCTGATACAATTTAAAAGACAAATGCATAAAACAATAAATATAAATCTATGTTAATTGGCCTGTATGTATAAAGATATAATTTGTGACAATAACAATAAGAGTTTTTGTGTACTACTGAGACTAAGTTGGTGTCAGTTCAAGCTAAACTATTATAAGTTTAAGATGTTAATTGTAACCCCAAGGTAACCACTAAGATATTGACTAAATAATGTGTAGAAAAAGAAATGAGCAGGTAATTATACTGATACATTACAAAAAATTAAACACAAAAGAAAGTAATAATGGAGGAATTGAAGGACAATAATATATGATATATAAAAAACAGATGGAAAAATGACAAAAATAAGTCTTTATCAGCAATTACTTTAAGCGCACATGGATTACACTCTCCAATTAAGGCAGAGAGGATCTGAATAGATTTTTTAAATGATCCTATAACATGAAGAAAAGAGACTCACTTTAGTTCAAAGATATAAATAGGTTGAAAATGGAAATGGAAAAAGACACTCCATGGAAATGGTAACCAAAAAAGAGCTGAGGTAGCCATATCAATATCAGATGGAATGAAAGACATGAATTGTCAAAACCACACCTAGGCATATCATTACAGAGGCACTTCTGATCACCAGAAACAAAGGAAAACTTAAAATCAAACCAAGAGAAAAGACAATTTACCTTAAAAACAAAACAAACCAAAGAAACCCTCAAACTACTAGACGAACTTCATGTTTTTAAACAGCAGTGACAGTGGCCAGAAAACACAATAATTTCTTTAAAGGGATGAGGTGGCAAGAGTAAAATACAGACACTTTTAAACAAAGAATGGAACAATTTCTTTTCGCTGACCCTCACTGAAAGAACTACTAAAATATGTGCTTCGGGAAGAAGTAAGTTAAACAAACAAACAAAAAAAACGTGTGCGATGTAAAAAAGGAACAGTAAGCAAAGAGCCTAGTCAGTTTGTGAGAGCCTGCTGAGCTAAATAAACATTAAGATAATACTGTGATTTTAAAAAGTATATTAATAGTTTTTTGTTTTCATTTTTTTGCAAGGGGAGGGAGGGAACACTATAGCAAGGTGGAACTAAAGCAATAACAACACAATAACATGTAAGGCCATAGTACTAGTATATTATAGTAATAAAAAGTTCTTGATTTGGGGGTATCGTGTAGCAATAATATTAACACTAACATCTTAAAACATAATACTGTATTCTGATAAAGAGTAGAATTCCAGGATATAGAACATCAAATCTGTTGAAGAGAAAGAGTGAAAAGAGAATAAAGAGAGCTAACTCAATAAAATGGAAAAATAAAAAGAAATAAGTGTGGTATATGTTAAGTGGAAAAAATAAAATTAAATGGTAGAAATAAATCCAAATACTAGAAATCAGAATACTAGAAATACTAGAAATCCAAATACATCAAATCAGAAATGATGACAAATATAAATGGACTATATTCTTTGTTTAAAAGACAGAGGTCTCTAACAATAGATTTTTTTAATCCAGCTATACACTAAATTACAAGACATGTGGAGAACAGTTATGAGAGATGGAAAAAATAATAAAAGGAAAATACTAACCAAAAGAAAGCTGGCATAGCTTTAATACCAGATTAAGCCAATTTTATGTGTTTTATAAGTATTTAAAGAAGATCACTACCTAGAGCAATTCTAAACTTGTATGCACCTAACAATATAGCCCCCAAATAAAAAAACAAACTATAAAGAATTATAATAAATTATAAGAAAGAACTGGCAAATAGCAACCATAGTGGGAGATTTTAACAGGCCTTCTCATCAATTGATAGCTTGATATAATGACATACATAGAACATATGAAACCCTACACCTTTCAAGTACACTTGGAACAATCATAAAAGTTATCCTCAATAAGACCACAAAGCAAATGTAAATAAATAACTAGTAATATGAAGTTAGACCATATTCTCTAACTTCAATGAATATAATTAGAAATCAATCAGTAAAATTTAACTAAATCCCCAAGTGTTTGGAGGGAAATCTAATCTGTTCCTCAAACATATGAGGATTTCATGTAGTATTCAGATACTATCTGTAATATGTGCCTAAACTATTCAAATTTGAAAATTAACAATCTCAAGAAGGTACCAAAACTAAAACAGGGGAACTAAAAAGAAGGCAATGCCAAAGATAAAAGCTAAAATTAAGGAAATAGGAAACAAAGATCCATAGTGAGGATTAATGAAACCAAATATCTAGTCCTTCAAAAAGACTACTAAAGCAGATAGACCCCAAGGAAAAAAGAGAGAATGAACAAGGACAAATATTAGTAAAAAAGATCAGGAAGTTATTTTTAAAGATTACAGGGAAATATGAGCTTTTATGCCAATAAATTGGAAAGTTTATTTAGATAATAGCTAATTTCCTAGAAAAAAATATCATATAAAAATTTATTCAAAAAGACATAGAAAAACAGGTTATAAAAAATTCATCCATGTTTTCATCTGGCACTTGTTTCACTTTTTGCATTTAAATCTTCTGATTCATCTGGAGTCATTTGGGTATATGGTGTGAAACATGGTGCCAGCTTTATATCCGAAGGCTATCGAGTTGTTATAGCCTACCATTCAATTTATTCATTTATTAAATAGTATATCTTTTCCCCACTGATTTTAAATGGCATTTTTGTTAAATGTTAAAATTCCAGATGCAAGGTTTATTTCCATACTTTATATTCAGTTTCATTGGTCTGTCCCTGTTTTCTTTTTTTCTTTTAAAGGTTTTATAATATGTTGTACTAATAGGCTTTTGATATTAAAACCAGACATTATAAGGAATGTAAAGTATATATGCCTAGGTTACCTAAATATGGATATAAAAATCCTCAATAAAATATAGGCAAACTGAATCAAGCAATCTATAAGCAAGCAATACATCATGATCAAGCAGGGTATGTGTCAAGAATGCAAAGATAGTTTGTCTTCAAAATTCTATTAATTTGCCATCCTTTACCTAAAGGAGAAAACCATTTCATCATCTCACGAACTTCAGAAAAACTATTTAGTTCGTCTCATGAACTTCAGATATATTAATTTTAAGAAAAACTCTTAGCAAACTAGGGGCACCTGGGTGGCTCAGTCAAATAAGCGTCCGACTCTTGATTTTGGTTCAGGTCATGATCTCACCATCATGAGATCGAGCCCCACCTCAGGCCTTGCACGGGGCATGGAGCTTGCTTAAGATTTTCTCTCTCCCTCTGCCTCTCTCTCTATCTCTCTAAAAAAATAAAGGGGCACCTGGGTGGCTCAGTCAGTAAAGTGTTCAACTTCAGGCTCAGGTCATGATCTCATGGTTCATGGGTTCAACCCCCACGTCAGGCTTTGTGCAAACAGTTCAGAGCCTGGAGCCTACTTTGGATTTGTGTCTCCCTCTCTCTCTGCACCTCCCCCACTCATTTTCTCTCTTTCTCTTTCTCTCTCCCCCGTTCAAAAATAAACATTAAAATTTTTTTTAATAAAAGGAAGAAGGAAAAGAAAACTCTTAGCAAATTAGTTTAAAAGGGAACTTGCTTATCTTAATAATAGGCATCTACCCAAACCTATAATAAACATTGCGTTTCATGGTAAAACTTTAGAAGTACTATTTAGAGATGCCTACTATCCCCACTTCTGTACATTGTGCTGGAGATCTCAGTTAGTACAATGTAACAAGAAAAACAAAAAGTGTATGAATTGAGAAGGGGAAAAAATAGCATTATTCACAGATAATAAGATTCTTTACACAGAACACCTATGAGAATCTATAGTCAAATTACCTGAACTGGTTGAATTCCATAAAGGTTAACCAGAGACAAAACAATAGTGTTCCTGAATACCAGCAATGAACAATGAGAAAATGTGACTTTTCAAAGAAACCATTTAAAGCAGAAATAGGAAATACAAGGTGTCTTAGAATAAACCCATTCAAAGATGTATAAGACTTTACATAGAGATCACATTTTACATAACAGACATCAAAGAAAACTCTGCATAAATGGAAATATATACCATATTCACATATCTGAAGAGTTACTATCATAAAGATGGCAATTTAAGGGGCACCTAGGTGGCTCATTTGACTATGCATCTGACTCTTGATCTCAGTTCAAGTCATGATCTCATAGTTCATGAGATCGAGCCCCATGTCAGTCAGAAGTTTGAAAATCATCCCCTTTGGAGGAAGCTATGCCAGGCTGGGTGTTGATGGGGGTCTTGGCTCTGTTTGAGGCTGACTCTCCTACCTCTCACACTTCTAGGACCTTCTCAATGACTTGTTTGCCTTTATGTTCCTTATGGGAGCTGTGGTCCTAGCTGCAAAAAGTCGACAAACCATGCCAGTGCCCTACTTAGCTGCTATGGTAAGTCTTTAATGTTGGGCAGTTTATTTGCTCAGAAACCACCTCTTTTAGGGGCACCTGGGTGGCCTTTGAGTTAAGTGTCCGACTCTTGATTTCAGCTCAGGTCATGATCTTACAGTTTGTGAGTTCAAGCCCTGCGCCAGGCTCTCTGCTGTCAGTGCGGAGGCCATTGTGGATCTTCTGTTTCCCTCTCTCTCTGCCCCTTCCCGCCTTGCACTCCCTCTCTCTCTCAAAAATAAATAGTAAAAAAAAAAAAAAATGAAGAAATCACCTCTTTTGGAGAATGGGTGCTTCCCTGATTTAAGGAAAGTGCTTCTTTTCACAAAATCTTGGAACCCATGCAAAGTTTAAAACTAAAGTTGGTAAATGCTTCCAATGAAGAAGCTGCTTAAATAAAGATGTAGTCCGGGGAGCCAACCAATCTAATGGCTTCCTCTTCTTAGCTGCCCCAATCCCTGAGGCAAAGGGCCACACCCAGGCTGCTGACAGTGTATTTTAAGACAGAGGCACAGGTGGAGGGGTGTGGGGCAGGGGGAGGAGGGTGGCTGAGCCTGGAGGTGGGGCAAACTCAGAACGTCTCTGGTCCAGAAGTTTAGGAAGAGGAAAGGATGTGTTAACTAGCACCTGCTGATGAATTAGAAACAAGGAGGGAATATGCCAGCTTTGGAATGAAAAGCAAAAGTAATGAGCATCCTTTTTCCCCCAGATCCTCATTGGTATAGCTGGAATGTTTGCTTTATTGGATATATGTCTTCAAACAAAACATTTCAAAGGCAAGACGATTCAAAAGAATGTGCTGGCTCCTCCTCCAAAACAGGAACAAATGGATGAAAATCCAAAGGAAGCAGTAAAACCACCAGAAAAGGCACCAGAAAAAGCACCAGACAAAGCAGAAAAGCCAAAGGAAAAAGAAAAGGGAGGCAAGAAATGACTCAAAGGAGACCCCTGTTGTCGAAAGCAGCAGTGCGTTTTACAACAAAACATTTCCACTGTCTTTATTGTCTTCTCTCTAGAATGGTTTTCTTTTCCATCCTAATTACCAACTTTGCTTGGAAAAGAAATTCCTCTTTAAATGGATTTTAAAGCTTAATGTTGACGTAAACATTATTTTGTTTATTCAACAAAAGTTACTGCAAGTTTTGGTGCAGAGGGCAAGATCAAGGCCTCTGGGGGTGCCTGCAGGCCACAGGGCACACAAGATTTGGGGTACAGTAGTGTGGGTGACACTGGCTGTCAACAGTGACCAGCCAAAGGGGCCAGAAGAAAACAAGAGACTGGAAAACAAAATGAACATTTTGTTCACATTAATTTTTTTTGAGGCGGGGGTGGGGGTGGGGGGAGGGGGAGAGAGTAGAGGAGGGAAAGAGGGAGGAGGAGAGAGAGTCCCAAGCAGGCTCTGTACCCAGTGGAGTTCATGACCTGAAGAAAAATCGAGAGTCAGGTGCTTAACTGACTGAGCCACCCAGGCGCCCCCACATTGATATTTTACATTTTAAAAAAGCACCCAGGTAGCGGCTATGAGAAAAACAGGTTGCCGGCCTCCCTCACTCTGACTTTGTAGCTTAGCATCGGTCCTCATTCGAGGTGTGCTCAGGAGGGAGGGCCACAGGGGTGGTATCATCCCCTCAGGGCTCAGGGCCTCCACAAGCCAAAGCCAGAGTCAGGCTGGCATGTGGGCCAGGCAGACTGGGCACGGGAGGAGCTGGAGGCATTCGGGTTCCCTTAGACATGGCCGGCCAGCCCTCTGGGACCTGCGGAGTCTCCCTCAATGAGGACCTGAGCCGGGCTCAGCTGGCCACCACAGCCACCATTCCCACTCACAGGCCTCAGTCAGGGCCCTAATCTCCATGGACAGACCAAGCGTGAGGCGGAAGGGTCAGCCTCCCGAGAGGAAAGCAAGGTCCCGAAGTGATGCATGAGGAGCTGGAGGAGACAGGGGTGGAGAGTAACAGGGTCCCCCCCCCCAGCACAGCCAGGAACAATGTGAGAGACAGGCTGAGAGGGTCACCTGGGCCGCGGGAGCCATGGCAGTGACTCAGGCCTTCGTCCTAAGTGCCACAGGGAAGCCCTGAAGCGGCAGGGCCCACCTCCACCAGGAGATCACAGACGTGGCTGCTGCAGAGAATGAAGTGAGGCCGAAGGAGGCTGCTGCCTGGCGCTCAGGTGGGGAAGCAGGCAGAGCCCAAGCCTGGATGGCCCCAGCCATTGGGCCTCCACCCATCCAGTCGTTACTCCCTCTGCAGCCCCCACAGCACCCCCTGCAGGCTAGGCAGGGTGAGGCAACCCTGCTGAAAGTGGGAGCAACTACAGGGAGTTAGTTACATTATAAAGAAAAACTCAAAAATGCACCCTATCCTGCCGTGTGACCCCAAATTCCTCTCCTAGGTATTGAGCCAGGAGGAATGGTATATTAGAATTTTCTTAATAGCCAAAAGGCAAAAAAGAGCCTGCAGGTTCAAAAGGAGATAAACCGAACTGTGTTACATTCACAAGACAGAATACTACTCAGCAATAAAAAAGGAGACTAATACAACATGGTAATAACGATAAAAATAAAAGATGCACAATGATGACTCACATACTGAGTGAAAGAAGGTGGACACAAAAGGATACACCCTATGACTCTGTTTCTACGACATTTAAGCACAGGGAAAAATACAGTGGTTGCCTCAGGAGGTGGAGCTTGGGGACTGATGACAAAGCGGCATGAGGAAGGGGCGCCTGGGTAGCTCAGTCGGTTAAGCATCCGACTTTGGCCCAGGTCATGATTTCGCAGTTGGCGGGTTTGAGCCCTGCATCTGGCCCTGCGCTGACAGCACCGAGCCTGCTTCAGATTCTCTGTCTCTGCCTCTCCCCTGCTTACATTCGAGCTCTCTCAAAAATAAACTAAAAACAAACAAACAAACAAAGGGGCATGAAGGTATGAGAAAGTTATTTTCATTAGGGAAGCGGTCACATCGGTGTATACTTTTGTCGAAACATTCAACTGTATAGTAACACCTATGTATCTCATAGTATGTAAATTTTATCTAAAAATGTAAGCTAAACATGACTGTTCAGAATCTAATGGAAATGGGTAGACCTTGCTGAACTCCTTTGTGTGGCCACTCCTCTCAGTCAGTCCCTGGAGGCAGCTCTCGGAAACAGGCAGAGGTTCCCCACATCCAGACAGAGAAGGCACGCAGTGGGGTGGAGCGTCACTTGACACAGCCACTGGTCATACTGAGAAGGAGGCCCTGGGACAGGGTTGTGGTCACCACAGACTTCAGAGAGATGCCTCTTTGGAGCAAAACTACATCAGGCGAGTATCTTCCAGGAGTAAGGAATGACTTGGGCATATTACCTATGGAAATAGTCAAAATGTAAATTCTCAAAAATCCTAACTAGTACATTCAGAGTAAAGATATCATGTCCTTAAAACAAGGAACTATAAAGAGGATAATAAGCTCACCACAGTTCTTGGGATGGAGGAGGGAGTAGATTATGAGAAAGATTTTAAAATTTAATGATGTGGAGCCTGCTTAAGGTTCTCTCTCTCCCTTTCTCTCTGCCCTTCCCCTGCTCTCATGCAATCTCTAAAAAATAATAATAATAAAGGAAGAAAGCTCTCAAACCAATAACCTACCTTTAGGAATTAGAAGACAAAATTAAACCCAAATCTAGAAGAAGAAACAACAGAGATTAGAGCACAGATAAACAAAACACAGAGCAGAAAAATAATAGAATCAGCAAATCCAAAAGTTGGTTCTTTGAAAATATCAACAATAAAAAAAAGATCATCAAACCTTTAGCTAATGACCAAAAAAAGAGAGAACGCATAACTAAAACCAGAATTGTAAGTGCAGACATTACTACTGATGATAGAAAAATAAAAATAATTACAAAATTATAACAATTGCATGACAACAAATCAGATGAAATGGGCAAACACACTAGAAACATACAAATTACTTAAACTGATTCAAGAAGAATTAGAAAATCTCAACATATCTACAAAAGATCAAAATATTGGGGTGCCTGGGTGGTTCAGTTGGTTAAGCATCCGACTTCGGCTCAGGTCATGATCTCACGGTTCATGAGTTCGAGCTCCGTGCTGGGCTCTGTGCTGACAGCTAGTTCAGAGCCTGGAGCCTGTTTCGGATTCTGTATCTCCCTCTCTCTCTGACCCTCCCCTGCTCACGCTGTCTCTGTCTCTCTGTCTGTCTCTCTCTCAGAAATAAATAAAACATTAAAAAAAGATTTTTAAAAAAGATCAAAATATTAACGAAAAGCCTCCCAACAACAAAAGCCTAGTACCAGATAGTTTCACTGATGAATCCTACCAAACATTTATTTATTTTTAATTTATTTATATTTTTCAAAGGTTTCTTTTTTATTATTTTGAGAGAGTTACACAAATGGGGAAGAGACAGAGAGAGAATCCCAAGCAGGCTCCACACCATCAGTGCAGAGCCTGATGTAGGGCTTTAACTCAAGAACGGTGAGATCATGACCTGAGCCAAAGTCAGACGCCTAACCAACTGAGCCACCTGGACACCCCTCAACCAAACATTTAAAGCAGACTTAATACCAACCCTTTGCAAACTCTTCCAAAAACCAGAAGACAAGGGAACACTTCCTAACTCATTATATGAGGCCAGAATTACCCCAATACCAAAGCTAGACAAAGACATCACAAGAAAACTATATACCAGCATTCGTTGACTGTAGATATAAAAATCCTTGACAAAATACTAGCAAATCAACTCTTACAGCATATTAAAATTATTATACACTATGACCAAATGGTATTTACCCCAGAATAGAACTGCAAAGTTTTTGAAAACTGAACTGATACTGGGCCACAGTCCAATGGTAGGTAGGATAATGTGGCCTGCATCTAACCAGTTGATTGCCTGCTTAAAAACAAACCAACAAAAAACTAAAAAACTAAAACCAATGCTCTCTATAGGAATTAAATAAATCCAGAGTTCATAGCCTAATATTCAAAATGTCCAATATACAATCAATAATTACTTGACATATTAAGAAATAGAGAAATCTGGGGCACCTGAGTGGGTCAGCTGGTTAAGCATCCAACTCGATTTCAGCTCAGGTCATGATCTTCTGGTTCATGGTATCAAACTCCATGTTGGGCTCCGTGCTGAATAGCTCAGGGTCTGCTTGGGATTCTCTCTCTCCCTCACCCTCTGCCCCTCCACCACTCACATGTGCTCTCACTCTCTCAAATAAACATTTAAAAAACTGTTAAAAGAAACATGAAAATCTCAAAATTTCATGAGAGAAAAGACAATAAATAACCCCAAGAATAACAACAAATGTTAGGTCATTAGACAAAAACTTTAAAGAGAATATTACAGCCATGATCTAAGAATAAATGAAATAAATGGAATGATAGAAAGTCTTAGTGGAGAAATATAAAATACAAAAAATCAGATGGAAATTTTAGAACTGAATACAATAACCAAAATAAAAAATCTCACTGAATGTGCTTAATAATAGAATGGAAATGACAGAGGAAGGAGTCAGTAAACTTGAAGTAAACTTGAAGTCAGTAAATCAATAGAAATTATTCAGTCTCGGGGCACCTAGGTGGCTCAGTCAGTTAAGCGACCAACTTCAGCCCAGGTCATGATCTCACGGTTCGTGGGTTCAAGCCCTGTGTCGGACTCTGTGCTGACAGCTAGCTCAGAGCCTGGAGCCTGCTTCAAATTCTGTGTCTCCCTCCCTCTCTGACCCTCCCCTGCTCTGGCCGTCTCTCTCTCTCTCTCAGAAATGAAAAAAAAAAAAAAAATTAAAAAAATTATTCAGTCTCAGAAGACATGAATAGATACTTTTCCAAAGAAGACATCAAATGGCTAACAGACACATGAAAAGATGCTTACTATCACTCATCATCAGGGAAATACAAATCAAAACCACAATGAGGTACCACCTCACACCTGTCAGAATGGCTAAAATTACTATTCAGGAAACAACAGATGTTGGCAAGGAAGTAGAGAAACGGGAACCCTTTTGCACTGCTGGTAGAAATACAAACTAGAAAAGCCACTCTGGAAAACAGTATGGAGGTTCCTCAAAAAATTAAAA